GCCCCCGCGCTGCAGATCCCCAAACTGCTCAGAAACAGAGCGATTCCCTGTTTCCTGCACTTTGGGAGCCACCCCCGTCGGCAGAGCCCCTCTGCCAGCAGGGAAGAGCCGGAGCGGCCGCAGGAGGGACCCTCCTGGCTCTGCAGAGCCCGGAGCCGCTCAGAGCAGCTTTGGCCATGCACAATCCAGCAGCACCCGGGTTCAGAGTGAAAACCCGAGCAAGCCGACGGGCTGGGAATCCTTCCCGTGTCCTCAGAGCATCCCCATTCCCACCATGGGGCCATCCCCATCATGGGACCATTCCCACCACTGCAGCATCCCCTGCATCCTCCTTCCTGCACCATCCGCACCCTGGCACCATTCCCTGCATCCCCACCAAGACCCAGTGTCCCCAGTGTCCCCATGGCCCCAGCAGCTCCCCAGGATGGACAGGGAGGTTTTCACTCCCTTTTCCTTGCAGATAACCTTTGAAATCTCCAAGCCGGAGGAGTCGCAGATCCCCATCTGGATCATCCTGGGCAGCACGTTAGGAGGCCTCCTGCTCCTGGCGCTCCTGGTGCTGGCGCTCTGGAAGGTGAGCGGATTCCTCCAGGCACCTCCCATATGGTTTTCCAGCGTTCTTTGCATTCTGCACCATCTCAGGGAAGTATTAAATATAAACCCGTTTCATTAACGCACGCTGAATGCTTCACTATCCCAAACACCTCTGTAAGGAACCGAGCTTCTCCGACCTCCTTTGAGTTTCCCATTTATCACTCCACAGGGCCGAGGTGCCCCTCGGAAGTGACGCGGGGTTTTTCTCTTGTCTTTGCCCGCTGCAGCTGGGGTTTTTCAAAAGCGGCAGCCGCAAGCGGGACGCGGAGCAGGAGGCGAGCGCCAAGGTGTTGGAGTGACGCGCGCGGAGCTCGTCCCTTCCCCGGAGCCGCCGCAGTGCCCGGCCGGCCGCGCGGCCAGGAGCGCGCCAAAAAAACCAAAGCAAACGAAAAAAATCCCCCCAAATGTAGAAATAAAACAAATAAGGCAGTCGGGCGGCCCTACGCCATGGAACCCACGCGGCAAAAACCTCCTTCCACCCGGTTTTCAAGCCGCGCACGGAGCGCGCAGCCCAAGGACCGGGCAAGCAAATTGCGCCCCAGATCCCGGTCCCGGCTGCTCCTGTTCCCTAATCCAGGGATGGGAAGCGCCCGCAGGGCCGACCGGTGGGAACGGAGCCGCTGGCCCCGGGCGCGAAGCGGAGCCGCCGAGCGGGGCGGCCGAATGGAGATTTCTAATTTGCCTTCTCTCCACTGCACTGAATACAGACGATGATAGCAAATTGAAGCACCTTAATGCAAATCTCCAGTGTCCAGCTGTATATACTTATTTGAAGAATACTTACCTGTCTGAACAGAAAAAAAAAAAAGTCAAAAAACATTTTTTTTTAAATCAAAAAGCAGTTTGAAGAGTTTCCTACAAACTGAGGGGTTTCAAAGAGCATGTGTCCAGCAAGACCTTGCACGTGTATTATAATTGTACATACTGGGAGTAATGCAAACGCCGACGGTCAGTGCTGTTCGACAAAAATCTTTCTTTTTGCGTAACAGAATTATTTATGCTAATATTAATTTTATGAACGAGAAGAAAGCATATGTCCACCTGATGTGTAATGACTTTGTTAAATACTGTCTTAGCATTTTTTAAGGATTAAAAATACAGTATTTTAAAAGTGCACAGCTTCCAACAGGGTTCTGTGTTCACCTCTTCCGCCCGTTTATCCCTAGGCGGATGGTTCACGTCCCCGCGAGGCAAGGACCGGACTCACACTTGCCTTTGCGTGCGGTTATTTTGCTATAGGAGCCTTCTGGGGAATGATGCCCGAGTCATTTCTTTAGGGGGCCGTGTCCTCGCAGGCTCAACCTCAAGCTGTGCTTGTGCAAGGGGCAATTGAATAAATATGGGGGGGAGGGTTAAAAAAAAAAAATCAATTTTTTTCATTGCTAACAGCAGCAGTTTGAGTGGAAATTATTAATGTCACCATTTCCAGCTGTCTTCCCATCCTGGTGGGGGTGCTCTCGGGCCACATAGACTGCTTTGCAACAATATTTTGGGGTGGTTTAGGTGGGATTTGCTCCTGGGGAACGGGCACTGTGCAGCCCAAGGGCTCAGACTTTGCAGCTTTGTTTTCTCCCTCTTTGACCACTTTTCACAGTGGCCCTGAAAGCAAACGAGCAGGATGCACGTATTTAATTTCCCCCAAAACCAGCAATTACTTTGCAAGGGTCGCCTGAAAGGGTCTCAGCGTTTGGTGCTGTGAAAAGGGGACCTTTTCTTCCCTGCTAGGCTGCCAGCTGCGCTTCTCCTCCCGCCCCGGCCTTTAAATAACCAAAAAAAGCACATTCCCAAGGTCAGGAATCGCTAGGACCAGATCTCCTTGCTGGATGCTGCTCCACAGGCTCCTTCACCGCACCAGGAAAAGGGGGGTTTCACAGCACAAATTGCCCAAGAATCACAGCAGCGACTGCTCGCAACAATGACTGGGAAAGTGTGATGCAAACGTGAGATTATATAGCATACTCTAGCTGTTTTTATTAAAAATACTCCCAGGTAGTTTTTTTCCCTGTAGATATTAGAGTCAATACTGTGCGTGCTCAGCTGTAGAAACATCCCATGTTTGACCAACAGAACAGGAGCAAGTGGATGGAGCAAGGAATAAAAGTCACTGTTTGCACATCAGCAGTATTAAATAAAGCGAGAAAGGGAGAAAAAAAGGAACCGAAAGGGCACCCTTAGGGTGCCAGGGCAGCTCTCCCGGCGCAGCCGTGGCCGGGCAGGTCAGGGCAGCCACTGGGCTCCACACAGGTGTTAGTAAAGGGTTTATTAAATAATTACCCCAAATTCACGTGCACCCTTGCAGATTTTAATGCTTGAGATGCACATTCCTACCCATTGTGTAGGTGCGAAGCGGAGAGCACAACTTGCAAGGCCCTTTGCAGCCCCTGCTGCAAAAAAAGTTTGCAAAAAGTTGGCAAAAATAAATACACACACAGAACAGGTTTTGCAGGGGCAATCATTTGGTGAGGAGGGTTTTGTAAGGGTATTAGGAGACTTTTTTTTTTTTTTTCCTCTCTGGTTTCTGGGTCTCTGGGTCTTCACATCCAGCAAGAAGCCCCCAGGAAAAGCAGGAGAAAAAAAAAAAAAAAAAAAAAAAAAAAAAAAAAACCTTGGAAAATCCACGAAGCCAAAGGCAGGTGAGGAGCAGAGCAAGGAGCTGCAGGCCTTTTCTTACTTAAAAAAAAGTAGAATTTGGGGAGGAGGCGCTTCCTTCCCCTTATTATTCGCTAGAAATATTTCAAACATGCATGTTTGTTCCAAGAACAGCTTTATGCAGGTATTTGACAGAAACACAGCATGGATTATTCCATAGGTCAGAAACAGATCCTGAGAAATGCAGTGCAAGGAACTACTGCTCCAATCCATCACACAGCAGCGGGTAATTGTTTCCATAAGAGCAATTGCAAATCCCCTTATCTAGTGCTACCTACATAACAATTAGTCACTCACTAGCCACCACGTTAGCCATCTCCCTCCCTTTTGGCCACTCTCCCGTTTCAAGGGGATTCAGAGTCCCTTGGTTCTCGGTTTTAGCCATGTGCACACACATGGGAAAAGCGTCAGCGAGGCATCGGAGGGCTGTTTGGTGCACGGGATGACGGATGTTTTCCCCCCTGGAACACATGCACGTGGATTCATGTGCGGTTAATAGTAACTGAAGGGCAGTTACGAGCAGCGCGAGCGAGGAAAATCCATCCACGTGCTGGGATCCGGAGCTGACCGAGCCGTGATGGACACGGCGCCACGGCGCGAGGTTCAGAGCAGCGACCGGCTCCCGGCCGGGCTCAGCGCCCCCATTTTTTGCTTTTTTCCCCCCACTGCGGTTGAGTTCCAGAGGGAGCCCCGGGCTCGGCGCTCCCAGCTCAACGTGTGTCGGGATGCAGGAGGAAGACACGGAGGAGAAGAGCCAACAGGGCCCTACAACCCTCCTGCCCGCGGGACAACAGCCGCTGGCTGCGGGAAGGCCCCAGGTGGCTCAATTTGGCTTTGCCGTTTTCCCACCGTTCAGCCTCACTTTGATTCTGCTTTTTTAAATTGACGCCGTAGTCCGACCTACCTCGGATACAAAGAGCGGAGACGTCGGCCGTTTCAGGTGCTATTTTTCATCCTGGCAGAGCAAAAGTTGCAGTTTAGGAGGTGTTTCTAAAGCTTCTCCCTCACAGAGACGCCCCACGCAGCGCCCGCAAATACAGCAGCACTGCCCTGCTTGAGACTAGGCAAGAACTAGAGTTACAACCTAACTCCACATTCAACGTTTATTTATTTGTAATACAAATAGAAACGTGTGCCCAAATCTTGCCTTAAAGTTCTACTCCGATTGTTTAAAAAATCCTACAGGACATTCTTTCATCTTCTGACAGATAAAAAGCTGCATTTAAAATGAACAGTTTTCAGTAGCCTGTCAAAACAAATGACATTTTACTGCTGGAGTATCTGTAACTTCTACCAAGGAGAAGCACGTTCTCAAGCAACAGTTTTATTATACAATCAGTTGCTTATCAGAGAAGATGTTACGATAGGACAATTTTTTAAAAATCAGTTTTAATAGAGATCATCATGAGGAAAGGAGTAAAAATCATGGAAAAAAAAATTCCCAAGTCCAATTGCGGGAGGCACAGACTCCATGCTCGTGGCAAACCCCGTTTCAAGCAGTCCCACGCTCCAAAGGAAGACTCTCTTTGGCGACAGACTACTCCATTAGGAAGATACAGCACTTGCAATCTGAGAGTGCAGTTTTACATCGCGTTAAAAAGGTGCATGTTCATCATCAAAATAATAAAAAACAAGTTAAACGCATTTTTGAAATGTTGGGACACACACAAACACAAATACCCTACAAGTTTTCTAGGTATCCATGCACGATCTTTATATATGAGCAACTTTTAGCTATGTTAACTAAGAAACCATAATTCTGGATGGTGTAGATCACTGGGCAAGCTCCTTTTTGAGAGGCTGCTCGATACTTACTGCAGTATTGCAAGCGAAGAGCTCGATAATCCAACTGCTCTTAGATGAACACACCCAATGTTGAACTGAAACCTGTATTTCCTAACAGAGCATTCCACACTTCTGTAGTTGTTAACTGCGGTTCAGATTTTAAATTTTTTATTTTTTTAATTAAAATGTTACCAGCATTTTCAGCATTAACTAAAAGGCATAAAAAGAGACTGTGAGGTATGAGAGCAACAGGCTGCTCTGTGAATTGAGACTTCACTTTTAGCCAACTACCACATCGTTCCCAACTGTTTTTTTTTGTTTTTTTTCCTCACCTCATTCCAAGAAGATTTAACACTTGCAAAGTTCCTGTATCCGTGGCACGGTGACACGGCCTTTCAGAGGTGCCTTCGTAAATAACTACTTAAAGCACTTGACTGCAAATGGTAGATGAAAATGTATATTTGAAATGAAATACTTTGCACCAATTACATTCGTATTCCTTTTCATTTTGTCCATAAAACAAGAGATAACAAAGCAATTTTTTTAATCAAAAAAAAAGACCAAAAAATCTCAAACATCAGATTTGATTACAGGAAAATTACGTGGCTTTTCCCTCCTCCCGCCAAGACCTGCCCAAGAACTGAAGACCGAATGCAAAGGAACCAAACAAAGAATGGAGCAAAACAATCTCTGTACACACATGTATTCCGTGGGCTGCAGTGGACGTCTTCGCGGAATAGCACCACCGTGAAAGATTTTACATCTCCTAGTGAAACTTCACAAACTCTTCCAGAGTTCTGGGGATCTGGTTTTGGTAGCTGATGTTATAGATCCGCACGGCTCGGGCAGCCAGGCACTTGAGACTCAGCTTCATTTGAGTTTTCAGGAGTATTTCGGACACCCCCGTGGTACTCTTATCCAGAGGCGTCTTCTTATGCTTGTTGGTCATGTCCGTGTGCGCGCCGGCCTCCACCAGGCTGATGATGATGGAGTGCAGCGTGAGGAAGTCGCTGATGGGCCGGTGGTACTGCACGATGATGTGCAGCGGGCTGTTGCCCTCGCCGTCCACGGCGTTGACGTCGGCCCCGCAGTCCAGCAGCAGCTTGGTGACGAGCGCGTTGGGGAAGCTGCACACGTCGTTGGTGTGGAAGTCGTCCACCGGCGTGCTCGAGTTGACGGCGTGGTGCAGCAGGCTGGAGCCGTCCCGCGTGCGGGGGTCCAGGTGGATCAGGTTGTAAATCTGCTTGTTGATGCGCGACTGATCCTCCTCGCTGCACTGCGTCTTGGTGGAGATGCAGACTAGGTAGAGGAAGGTGAAAATATTGCATTCGTAGTTGTCCATGGCTGTGTGGATGTCAGCGTCCTGCGTGGTTTTGATCCTGGACATTCCTTGCTCTATCTCCAGGACGCTGCACCTCAGCACGCTCTCGATGTCCCTGGCCTTCACGGGCTCGTTCAGGTGTATCATCTGTGAGAACACTTGGGCAAACCTCAGGAGGTCCTTGTGAGTGTTCCTGTTGCCCTTCTGCCTCAAATGCAAGGCATGGAGCCACAGCTTGATGCACTGTTCAAACTCCATGTTATCTGCATAAACAGCCCCGCGGTAAATTATGGGGTGAGAAACGTCGATATTGTCCGAGCCCAGAATCCTTTCCCGCACAATGAGGCCCTCCATGTGCAGGGCATCCCTGTCCTGCCGGATAGACTCTAATTCCTGAGGAGTTCTGCATTCAGTCCTGCTTCCATAAGCTTCAATCTGTGGAAGAACTTCTTTCTCAATTATATTCTCGCTGTCCCGGTACCTCTCCAGCATTGCTAAATATAAATAGTGATAAGTCTTCATAATGTCGTAATTTTCCCGGTCGTTCGCAAACGAGGCCCCCAGCAGCTCCAGCGCCTCGATGCGGCTGCGGCGGTCGCAGTCGGCGTGCGC